GAGTCAGACACCTGCATGCCTAGCCCTGATAGGTACTGACTTCGCAACCTTTGCTTAGAGAAAGCCTCCCGCCGATGAGGCCTTGGGGAATTGTGTGTGTGGCACTTGGGTTGGCTTGATCTGTCATCCGTCCTGGGGTCGAATAGAACCACCTGCCACTTGAGCAGCCCCCGTGGGTCTCCAGAGACCCCGTCCTGCAGTTGTTAGTTGTTAGTAAGCCCCAGGCTTTGGCAAGGCCTTGGCCCTGGTCCTCCGACTGGAGGCAGGGTGGGAAGGAGGTGGTTGACCAGCAACTCTCTCCTCCCCAGGACAAAGGAGACGCTGGAGTCAAGGAGCTGGACGGCTTGAAGAGTGATCGACTGAGAACTGTCCAGCTCAATGTCTGCAAAAGTGAGGAGGTGGAGAAAGTGGTGGAGACCGTCCGCTCGAGCCTGGAGGACCCTGAGAAAGGTAGGGGGCCCGTGGGGGCAGCAGGGTTAGTGCACCAGCCGTTCCGAGGGCACCTTTCCTAAACACTACCCCCCGTTTGCCGGTATCCTGTCAAAAGGCCGCTTTCCCTGTCGTTGAAGCTCTTGCACAGCGGGAGGAAGTGGGTTAAATTAAACACACGCATGCAATAAGGCAATGTGAAATAGAGCCAGAGGTGCTTTCAAAATCTCTAGGGGTGGTGAATAGATGAGCATGGGGGCAGGTCAGTTCAGACAGTGCTCATTGAATGCCCACTCCGGGCCAAGTGTTGGGGACACAGAGATGGCCGAGACACAGTCCTTGTTCCCAGAGACCTCACGGTTCACTGCGGGGCTAACCCAGATGATCTCCACACCCCCTCTCAGGAAGCAGCACATGACAGAGGGACACAGCCCAGCCCTGGGTGGGGTGGGGAGCCCGTTAGTGAGAGCAGATCATGGCAGGGTGCAGGAAGGCCATTCCAGGAGTGGGGGAGAGAAGGAACAATGGTGGGAAGCACACAGGGTATGCTGGGGGACAAGTCCGTGGTCAACTCTGGTGGAGGTGGTGGGGGTTGAGGGGTTGAGGAGGGAGGTCAGGCAGAGCCTGGGGTCCATGGCCGCTCTCCTGAGGGCACCAGGAGCCACGGTAGATTTCCCAAGGGGAATGACCTGTCAGTCTGGGGACTGGGGCAGCAGTGTGGAAGGTGGATTTAGAGGGAGAGCATGAGTGCAGGAGTACCCCTGAACAAGGGCAGCAGGTGTTGGGGATGAGGAGAGATCAGATACGGGAAGACACGGCTGGCTGGACTTGGTGATGCATGCATGTGGGGGATGAGGGAGGGGCATGAGGCCTCTCCTGACACATGGGGCCCCCCCACTGGAGGAGCAGGGTGAGGGATGCGGAGTGCCCATGGGATGCCCTGCGGGAATGTCTTAGTGGAGACCAGACGTCCAGGGCTGAAGGTGAGGCTAGAGTGGGGAAGATGCAAGGTGGGCCTCCTGGGAACGTGAGCAATCAGGGGCTGGAGAAGGGGAGAGGCGGTTGGCAGAGAGGTTGGGTACTGTGCCCCCAGAAGCCGAAGGAACAGAAAGTTTGAGGGCCAGTAGCCCACAGGGTCACATGCTGCAGAAAGTTCCGGTAACATAAGGACTTGGGTGTTCTCCCAGTTCAGCCCATGGAGGGACCTTGGTGGGAGGGGCTCTGTTCAACAGAGGGGAGGAGACCCCATTCAGGGAGCACACAGCCATGGTGCATTCTGGGCTACTTGCTTCCTCTCAGACGTTTACCTTTGAGCTTCCCGGCAGACCAGGCGAGAGGGTTGTCTCCTCCCCACAGATGGACGGGGCAGCTCTCCTGAGTGGTGACTTCAGGCACTATAGGGAGGGGGGAGGAGAGGGCACCACGCACCGGTGCTGGGCTCTGTTGAGCATTTAGGAGCCAGGCAGAGAGGCTGCCATCTCCCAGCGGCTGCCTCAGAGCTCCTGTGCTGCCAGCCTGTCACTGACGTCCCCTTGTCAGCCCAGGGCTGCCCCCACCTCCAAAGCCGGCCATTCCCAGGCTGCTCTGCTCTCAGAGGAGAGGCCTGTGGGTTCCCTCACTCACTGGACATCTGTTTCGCAGGGCCAGGGCTCCCGTCCCATTACGGAAAGGCACGATGGGTCCCATGGGGTGCTTCGCAGCTCAGGAGGTGCAGCCTGCCTCGGCCCTCCCGCCCGCCTTCATCAACCAGGAGGCAGGCAAACAGCCGCAGTCGGTGCCATAAAGCCCCCTCGTGGCAGCCTGAGGGTCTGTGGTGATTTAAAATGCCCACGGAAGGAAACCGCCGCTGTAGACCCGAGCACAGAGTGGGGCTGCACCAGAGCTGGGGGCTGCTCGGGACCCTGGTCCCGGTCCCCTGCCGCCAGGACAGAACCACCTCCATTCCCTGTATTGGTCCGGTCAGTTCGCTTGAGTGGAACCACAAGGGGGAGGCGCTCACCCCCCTGCCCTGGGACTGAGCTCAAACCCTACTCCCACCCCGATGCATACACTTTTTCCTGCTGCCTTTTTCCACATGACACATTCCAGCGAGGGTTGATAAACCACAGCATGACCTTATTTACCCAATGCTGCATTTTCTGGAAAAAGATTTGAAGATTTTTTTTTTAGGTCTGAAAAAGATGAGAAATCTGTCAGACATGTGGTTGTCCAGGTCTCTCTCTCCCCACTTCCCCCTCCACCTCTCTTTCTTCCCTGTGGCCCGCACCCCTGCCCCACCAAGGGCTGTTGTTTTCCCCGTAGAGCGGCTGCCATTTTCCCTTTCTCTGGCAATGCTGTCTTTGAACTCCAGGTGGCGCCCTTCTAGAGCTTTCCGACCAGCTTGGGGTCCCTAAGGGGGTGGCCACTTCTGGCTCACTCTACCCAGGCAGGATCCTTCCAGGAGACAAGTGGAGTGCGCGTTTTGATGGCGAGTTTGGTGCCTTTCATCCTGGCTCCGTGGAACAGGGGAGCCAGCCTCGGGGGGTGAGATGAAGGGGATTGTCTGATTAGAGCAGGTGAGCCGTCTGCCATCAGCCCCTGCACTCGCCAGCAGAGCTCCGAGGGACTGGATGGACATCTGGACACTGCCTACCCACACCCCAGCGAAGGGCTGAATGAGCCAAGCGGCAGGCCTGATCTTGAAACCACCACTTAACCTCACAGTCCGGAGATATTTATTGACTACCTGCTGTATGCCTGGGAGTGTGCTGAGCACCAGTGAAGGTATGACCTGGCAGGAGGAGTTTGTGGTTGGACACCAGCCAGATGTAAGTCGGTGGCTTCATGGCAGGACCTCTTCAGAACGGTTACAGCACTGGGGACATTGTGCCATGGAGAAGGAAGACCCTGCCTTACATCTGGGACACCCTCAGTCTGCGAGTGAGAAGACTGCACTCACTGTGGGCTTCACCCTCTTACGAGAAGCGTGACCTTGGGCTTGTACCTTCCCCTGTGTGGGCCTCAGCTTGCCTATCTGTGAAGTGGGAAAAGTGCCCCGCTCACACATCCGGTGCTCACACTTAGATCTGATCGCTGCAGGAACATGGGCAGAATATCAGCAAAAGCTGTCCTCAGGCTGAGGGATGGGGAGCTGAGCAAAGCCGGGAGAAGCCACGAGGCAGAGGAGTGGCCGGTTGTTCAGGCTTCCAGAGGGCAGAACAAGAAGCATGGCAAAGGAGGCCTCACGTACCCCTCGGAGGGAATTGCCGGAGCAGGAAGTGACCAACAGAGGAGGAGAGTCTGGCTGAGGGGCCGGCCAGGATGGAGGTGGAGGACAGAGGCTGTGACAGGGAGACCTGGGAGAAGTTCTCCAGTGATACAGGATGGAGATGACAAGGACCCACCCTAATGCTGTGGCAAGAGGAAAGAAGACACGGATTTTATGACACGGCAGAGGAAGCCAGCAACAGCACAGGGCTGAGCATGATGGCTGTGTCTTCACACAGACCTGGGTCCAAATTCCATCCTGTCCCCCTATTAGCTGAGTGACATTGAGCAAGGTGCTTAACCTCCTGGAGCCTCAGCTGTGTCCTCCAGACCTGGGACAACTTAGCATCTGAATGAATGCACGCAGAATGCTGAGCCCAGGGCCTGGCCGCTGTCCTTTTGATCTTGACCAGTAGTATTAACAGTTCTCATCAGATGGGGGAGAAGCGAGAGTGTCCAGGGGTCTGTTAGCGAAGAGGAAAGTGAGGCGTGGGCTGGGGCTGCTGAAACACGCCGTGCTGGTATGTGGGAGGGTGACCTTGGGGCACTGAGGTGAAAGTGACCGTCAGGAGGAGACTGCAGTCGGGAGAGAGCCATGAGTCCGAGGGGTACACGGGAACCCTTGACGTCTGGCTGCGCCGGGGCTGTTGCAGGAAAACAGCCGTCCCTCAGACCAGCAGGAATGTTCACTGTGAGTTTATTTGAAAGTTGGCTGAGGACTCCAGAGAGCAACTAGGTCCACAAACTATTACTCCTTATCAAGTCAGCAGACCTATAATCCAGGAACAGTGTGCTTTCACAGGTCAAGTTCAGTTACACTCTTTTGGATATCAGTGTCAGATGTAATTAGTTTTTAGCTGGAAAAAAAACACAACTGTGTATTTGAAGGTGTGATACGGTCTCGTGTGAATCAAACACAAAGCAGCTGGAAATTTCCATGAACATAAAGAAGACAAGCCTGCCTAGGCATTGAGTGTAATTTGGGAGAAGGTGGTCTAGGATAGGACATTGGCGGATGCCTGTATTTAGGGGGCAGGCAGAAGAAGGGTGGGTGGGGGGGGATGGAAGAGATGCTTGGGTGTCATTAATGCCAAGGAAGGAATGAGTGTCAAGAACCATGAGTAGTGCTCATACCGGGGAGGAGTGAAGATGGGAGGGAGGGATGATGGGGCATCCTTAGGATGTCGCACTCCAGACACTGTGGGACAGCAACAGGGCTGGAACCCAGAATGGCAGGGAAATGGGGTCTGGAGAGTGTGGCTTGTGTTCTCAGAAGCCTGGTGGTGGAGGGAAGGAGAACAGACGGTGGTGTGAGGATGTAACATGGTAAAGAGGAGGTTCTTTAGGATCTTGAGACATGGTATTTGTAGACATTCATCTGACAAACATTTATTGAGCATCTAATGTGTACAATGTTGGAGGGAGGGAGCCAGGGGTAAGAAAAGGGTTGAAGTTGCATAAAAAAGGAACAAGGAGTGATGGCTTATGGTTTGGAAGGCGGAGGGTGAAGTGTCAGCCTTGGCAGGTGGTGGGAGGCCTCCTGCTCTTCCTGGGAAGAAGAGAGGGGTGAAGACCCCCGGGGAGGTCTGCAGGGCGGTGGCTGTGGTGGCCACGTCACTGCGAGGTCACTGCTGAGACCCGAGGGCCTGCGGCTTCAGCTCAGCCGCCGTGGGGAGTGAGAGTGAGAGCTTCATGAGCACTTTGTTAACCAGCAATTTCCTTCCCTGATAAATGTCCTTAATTCTCCATAATTGAAGGAGAAGGCACCAGAGGTCAGTTGAAGCTTTAATTTGGGTAACATGGAAGGAAAGCAGCTAGAGACCAATTACTCTGTCATTTACACAAACTCATTTCCATGATTAACTTGGAAAGCGAAGCGGGGCCAGGGTTCCCACAGGCAGGAGGACAGCTCTGCCCTGAGGCTGCAGCCCATGCAGTCCTCACACCGCACAGATGGAACTCAGAGGCCCTGCAAAGCAAGGTGGCCTCCTCGGGGCCTCCTTCCCTCATTCAGCTCTGCCTCTGACCTGCTGGGCATGCTGAAACCATCCTCCTCCTCAGGGCCTCTACTTCCCTGGCTGTGAAAGTAGTCGTGAGAGCTCCGAGGATCCTTCTAGCACCAGTGTTCCCTGAGTCTACAGGTACAGAAGCCAGCTGTCCCCTAGCTGGTCTTACAGGAAACAGTCCACCCAAGTGTACTCAGTGTACGCTTGCTCCAACTCTGTACCCCACCTGGGACCACACAAGGCTGAGGGGTGTTCTTGACCTGCAGAGACCAGGTGTATACACATGGGCCGTGGGGGCTCACCAGTGATAACCGCAAACAGTGCATGCTTCAGAGAGGGGAAGATCTGAGAATGGAGTCATGGTCAGGAGGGTCTCAGGATGGATCAGGACTGGGGCTCGACCTGAGGTCAAGTCTTAGCTGAGCCTCTAACTGCTGTGAGACCTTGGACACTGGGTCCCCTCCCTGGTCCTCCAGAGAAGACTTGGCCTGGAAGACTCCTGAGGTTCTCCTGGCTTCTGGCTGGAGGTCAAAGGCAAGCGAAGGTGCGGAGGCAGAAATGAATACACAGTGCAGGGTGAGGGGAGGTGACTGCATGGAGCCAGTGGGACTGAGTGAGCCGAGGTGGGACTCCAGGCTGCGGACACCTGGCAGGGCTGGGTCATGGTGGGCCCAGAGAGTCCATGCAGGGAGAAGCGAGATAGTAATTGGACGTTTTAGACTTAAGGGAGGGTCACAGCCAGCACCGTAGGCCTCTCTGTCTCCTGTTATTTTTGGTGATTCTAGAAAGTGTCCCGAGAGCCTTGGACAAGAAGTAGCAAGTTTTGGGGAAAAGGGACAAAGCGAAGAGGGGCATGGGCTGCAGGCTGATGGTGTCTGAGGCCAAGCGTGCGTGGTGACCATGGTTCTGTCCCATCCTGTCCAGGCCTGTGGGGCCTCGTTAACAATGCGGGCATCTCAACTTTCGGAGAAGTAGAGTTCACCAGCATGGAGACCTACAAGGAAGTGGCGGAAGTGAACCTTTGGGGCACAGTGAGGATGACAAAATCCTTTCTCCCCCTCATCCGAAGGGCCAAAGGTGAGTTGGAAAGGGATTTCCTCCTGTCCCACCTTTTCATCTTTGCTTAGAATGGAAAGAGGTCTCAGCAGAGCCAACCTCCATACCCCAGTTAGGCTGAGCACAGGACTCTCGGGGGCTGTGCAGGTCTTGTGGATGGTGGCAAGTGGAAGTGCCTTGGCCAGCCAGATGGGAAGGGATGTGTGGTTTTCAGAAAGGAGGGCAGCTGAGAGGTCAGCTGTCTCAAAGGCTAAAAGATTACAGCAGTCATCCCACTCTGGGGACCTAATCTAGAGAAATAACCACCCTGTGCACAGAGCTGTGTGTATATACATCAACTATCGAGAGAGGCATGGTTAAGTCAGTTTTGGTATATCCGTTCTATGGGTTACTATGCCACAGTTAAAAAATAAGACCGTTGTGGTAAAGTGTAAAATATAGAAATAATAATAATCAAGATTAGAAATTTAGAGAACAGACAAAACTCTCAAACCATGTTAGGTAGCCAAAGAAGTCACTGATTTAGATGTTCTCCCTAGATAGCAAACAATGATGGCAAAAGGAGATGATCCACACGATCTATCCCAAAGTTTCAGCAATGATAGAATGAACCCAGAGAGCAGCTGTAGGATTTTAGAAGAAAACCCCAACCCTTCAGTGACTTCCAACTTAGAGGTTTCCGAAAGGTGTCTCCCTGTGGCGCCCAGGATGGGGCCGTGCCTTCACTTCCTGAGGGCACTCCCAGGGCAAGCAGGTCCCAGGTCCGCTTGGGCTTACTTGGAAGGACTCCACCTCCATCCCACTACCTGAGGCCGGGCCTGTGGAAAGCCTCTTGAGGTCACCACTCTCTTCCAGTGCCGGAGACTGTCCACATGTTCTAGCCCTGAAATCAGGTTCAGAACCCTGGTTCGGCCGGCTTGCAGCGAGAGCCCTAGTGGGTCCTAGCAGTTTGCCCATTATGCTCTGCCCGCCTGGTATGCAGGCCTGCTCATTTCTCTTCCCCTGTCCTGCCTGGCACAGTCAGGGAAAATCTGGCCATGTGGGCCTGAGCCGGCCTCGATTACGAATTAGAAGGCCCCCTGACCCTGGCTAGTTCAGGCATCGGAACAGGTGTCAGGGCTAGGAGGCCAGGTTCCAGCTGGGCCTCTGGAAGCCTGCCGGGCCCCAGGCCCTCTGCCTGACCAGTCAGTGCCTCCTGAGCAGGGGTTTGCTGTCTTCCTTTGTAGGCCGCGTCGTCAACATCAGCAGCATGCTGGGCCGCATGGCCAACCCGGCCCGCTCCCCATACTGCATCACCAAGTTCGGGGTGGAGGCCTTCTCTGACTGCCTGCGCTACGAGATGCACCCGCTGGGCGTCAAGGTCAGCGTGGTGGAACCTGGCAACTTCATCGCCGCCACCAGCCTCTACAGCCCTGAGCGCATCCAGGCCATCGCCGATAAGATGTGGCACGAGCTGCCTGAGGTGGTACGCCAGGACTACGGCAGGAAGTACTTTGACGAGAAGATCGCCAAGATGGAGACCTACTGTAACAGTGGCTCCACGGACACATCCCCTGTCATCAGCGCTGTCACCCACGCTCTGACCTCTGCCAGCCCCTACACGCGCTACCACCCCATGGACTATTACTGGTGGCTTCGAATGCAGGTCATGACCCACTTGCCCGCAGCAGTGTCCGACAGGATCTACATACACTGAAGACGGTCCCACTGGCCTCTGTTGGGGAGCCCTGGGGGGAGGGAAGAGAGAGGGGCGCAGGGAGGGAGGGTCTTGTGTGGTCGCCGCTTGAGTACCACCTTGTGCATTACCCACAGTCCCAGGAGAACCTACCACCAGTTGTAGGATTAACCAGAGGAGATAGCCCAGCCCTACTTGTGTGCACGGCGAGTGGTTTGGGCCTTCTCGGTCGGCGTACGGAGTGGTGGGCAGGCTCCCTACACCTCAGGGCAAACATAATACATCCATCTTTCTCAAGTTGATTTCATACAAAGAGTTTGGGAAGACACATTTATATTAAACACAGATTTATTATGAAATACAATATGAATCCTTTATGCTTTATTTATTTATTTTATTTTATTTTTTTAAAGATTTTATTTATTTATTTGACAGAGAGATAGACAGAAGAGCACAAGCAGAGGGAGTGGCAGAGGGAGAGGGAGAAGCAGGCTCTGCACTGAGCAGGGAACCCGATGCGGGACTCGATCCCAGGACCCTGAGATCATGACCTGAGCCGAAGGCAGACGCTTAACCCTCTGAGCCACCCAGGCGCCCCAATCCTTTACGTTTTAAAGCCAAACAACTGTTCAAAAATTTATCTCATTTGATCCTTAAACCAGCCTCATGCGTGACAAGGACAGATATTTTTTTTTCTTTTGTATATGAAGAATGTGTGGCCCAAAGAGGATACGCGAGTAACCGTTTGTTGTTGATACATGGTCCAGGTTATGTGTTTCTGCCACCACTGTAGAAATGCTTCACGGTGTGTGTTCCAGGGCTGCTCTGGATCCAGTTATCTGAGGATCCTGTGATGAGCTCTGTACCCTCACCTGAGCCAGACACACCGCGTGCCCACTGTGCACCCCTCGGCATTTCCATGGTGCCTATGTGTGTGGCCCAGAGCCAGCAATACCAAGGGGTGGGGACATCCTGGAAATTTCCATTTGCGATTTCTGCAACCTCTCTTAGGACTTGTGTAGAGGTGCTTGTTGGCTAAGAGGTTGATTTGCTTCTGGTATGAGTCTGCTTAGTTTTGCCTGGGGTGGGACCATGTTGATGCTGCGTCCTTGGCAGGAGCCATGGCACAGCCTGCAGCTGGGGTAGGTCCAGGTTGCCTGCCTGTCTCATGTGGTGTACACACACACACACACACACACACACACACACACACACACTCAGGGGGGCCTTTACTGTATGCTTGCTTGTCTGCTGTGGCCTTATTTTTAATTAAGAAGCCAGGTCACTGGTAGGTAGAGTCTGTGTTATCCCTTCTCGGGTTTGGGTTTGAATGCTGCTCTCCCTGCAATTGTCCAGAGCCTGGCTGTTTGGACCCAAACCAGACACCACTCCCGCCCCCAGGTGGCTGCAGGCGGTCCTGCGCGGCAGCCCCGCAAACCAAACTGGCGGAAGGGGCAGGCCTGCCGCTAGAGGGCGCTCTGCCTCTGCTGCGGCCCGAGCGGCCTGGGCTCCCGACTCGGTTGCTTCCACCCAAGCCTGAGGTCTCGGAGGGTTCCTGATCCCCACCTTCCAGTCCGGGCACAAAGAGCAAGACCCCTTTAGAAACAGAATCCCTGCTCTGCAAGTAGCTGCCTGGCATAAACGTGGAGCCTGGCTCCCGGAGAAGGCAGAAGAAGAGCTGGGCAGCCGGGCCTGGCCTCCCGGCTCAGGCCTTGCCAAGGAACAGGGGGCCTCACAAGGAGGAAATTCAGCCTGCCTTACGGGCTTTGGTCCCCTCTGTCTTCAATCAGGGGCGCCCTGCCCGGCCACCTGTCTGCAAGGTGAGGCCAGGAGGGCCTGTGGGGATGACGGGATGGGCCGGCAGGGCTGAAGCCCTCCAGAGCCTAGAGCCGGACATCCGATGGCCATCGTGTTCACATTACAGCCACATCCTTTTGAATCACAGAGCTGACCTTTCAGAGTCGCATTTCCACAGCTTGGGAGATTTTGTTTCCATGCTCGATTTTTTGAGAGAGGGACGGATGCAACACTTGGAGTTACACGTGTGTGTGGACATCCGGGAACTAGAGGGAAGGGGGGGCAAGCTCCTGAGCACTGAACAAGCCACATCTTCCTCTGCGGGGGTCTCCGGGAGTAGGACAGGACTGCTAGGCTGGCCCGCAGGCCGCCCTGAGTTTTATTTTTACCCCAGTGACTGCAAAGCCCAGAGCACCTCCTTTCCAGATAATCTCGATGCTAATTAAATGACCAAATTCACTCTGGTGGCCTAGAGCCTACATGGGTGCAGGTCTAGTTCTGATCCTTCCAAGGGACGTGGAAGTAGGCAGAACAGAGGTGGTTGTTCCCATTTTACAGATGACATAACTCAGACCCAAAGAGGGAAAGTGACTCACCCAGTGTCACAGTGGATCTGTGACAAAAGTCTGAGCGGTGCTGTTCACCATCACCTCACCCCAACAGCCCTGGGAACTAACCTGGCACCCAGACCCTCCCTGCTTGCCTGTCAGCAGAGAGCTGCCCCTTCTTGGGGTGGGGATGGGGGGGTGAGGGGAGAGAGGGGGCTCCTGTTCTGCGGGGTACAAATGGCGCCCACAGCTGCCGCCTTGGGTTGGAGCATGATCTCTAGGGTACTGTCCTTGGTGGCTGGAGGCTGGGTGAGAGCTCTCTGCAAGATGCTTCTGACAGGGGGCGCTTACCATGCCACCTGGGGCCAAGAGGCTTGCAAGCAGGTGTGAGGCCAGCCTGGCCCTGCCTGCCCCAGGCTCCTGGGGCCGTGTGTCGGCTACCCGTGGCAGGGGGTCTGCCAGACTCCCCACTTGTGAGGCCTCTTCGCTTCCTGTATCTCACACAGGGCCTGGCTCTACAAAGCTCTGCGCAGCTCATCTGCTGCAGGGGCAGACATGAGCAGGCAGAGGCTCCCTCCGCTTGGGTGGCACCAGGCTCAGCCTGCCAGATGACAAGAGGCACATCTGTGCGGTGCTGGCTGCCTTACACAGCCAGTTCGCTGCCTCTCCCCGGCGTCCCGCAGCGGCCCTGGGAGGGAGGCGGGGTGGGGGAGGGTTACTATCTCCTTTTACACATAAGGAAACCGACTACCCCAAGTCTCTTGCCAAGGGAGGGATAGAACTGGGTGGCCAAGCCAGCTCTAACCTCCAGCCTGGAGCTAGCGATGCATGAAAAGCAGGGCAGATGGCACCAGGATCTAAAATAAGGAGGGGAAAAAATACCTCAATTATGTAACAGTGAGAAAAATCTGTAAGCATATACACAGTAACAAGCACAGAGTGAGCCATCCATCCCCTCCCTCCCAGCCCCCTGTGGGAGAGGGGGTGCCGGGGGAGCCCGTTCGTGTCCCAACAGGAGGAAATGTGCCTTCCCGGGGCCAACACTGCCCCCCATCAGGGGCCTTTCTGAGGGCAGGCTCTAGGAACACCGAGACCCAACCTTGGGCAGAGACAGAGTATAACTGCTCCCGAAGTGCTTGAGGGCTATAGGAGCACAAGGCTGGAGGGTCCTCAGATAAGGCTGTGGAACAAGGAGAGCTGTGGGGCCTGGTGCTCTGCTGGAGACCAAACAGGCAAGCCCAGAGCATCATAAAGCCCTCCTGGTATGTGCGTGCGCTAAGGCAGCTGGTCTGTGAGTGGCCCTTCAGACGTACTGGGTGAGCCCTTGCCGGGCTAGGGACCAGTGACCAGGGCTTGGACTAAGACCGGGAGAGGCTACTAGGAGCCCCAGAACCTCAGAGAGGGAAAGGGGATCCAACCACCGCCAAGCCTGACTCCCAGCCTCCGGGGAGCTGGCCAAGCCTTGAAGCCCTCCAGCGACAAGGAGCTCATTACTTCCTGAGACAGCATGTCCTTGGTTAGGGAGAATTGATCCAAAGACTGAGCTGAAATCTACCACCTGGAACCTAACTCCTTTGGCACTTGGCTGTGACCCAGAACTGCACAGAACATCAGGTATTCGAAAATGGCCAGATCAAGTGCAAGAGCCCAGGTCTCTCACTTGACAAGGTTTCCATACTCCTCACTGTCTGCCCAGGAGGTTTCAGCTGTGGTTATCCCAGCTTTCATTCTTAATGACACACACCAGGCTGAATGACCACCTGCGTCCCCTCCAGCAGCAAGAACTTGGAGACAGGTTTTAATACCTTCGGGGAAATGCTGACAACTTCTCACACATGGGCCCCCTCACTACTAAGTGCACTCATGACTCGTCTTTCATCTGCTCCTCACAAACAGCTTATGAGTTAGGCGGGACCACTACTGCCATTTTACAGATAGAGAAACTGAGCCTCGGGGTGGTGAAGTGATTCGCCCAAGATCACAGGGCCAGGAAGTGGGAGAGCCTGGCTTCCAGCCTTGGGGTCCCTTCCTTTACTCCTAGGCTGCCTCAGTCTCCCCATCAGGGCCCCTGAGCTGGGCTGGAGCCCACTCAGAGGCCGGCCATGTAGCCTGTGAGGGAGTGATGAGGGGAGCGCTGAACTCAACTTTCTCCTAGCCCACAGTTTTACAGAGAGCAGCGTGGAGGGGAGGCTGGGCCTTGCGTCTCCCTGGAGCTGTGGCTGTTGTGTCTGTGGGCTCGGCCAGTGGCCTGGGCCCTGGGAGAAGTCCTGAGGGTTGGAGACAGCAGGGCCAGGCGGCGTTCCCGGGACCGTGGTGAGGACCGTCCTGCCTCAGCATCGAGGGACATGTGTTAGAGGAGAGAGAGAGTGAATGGGGACGCACCTCAGGGCATCTTGGGGCCCAGAAACACCTTGTTCTGCTCTCTCAGACTTAATTACTCCGTAAAATGTGAGGCTGCTCCCACTTATCAAGTTACAGATGAGCTTAATTCCAGCACACTGAGTAACCACACCGGGCTCCTTCGGAAATAGCAGTGGGTGGGCCGCCCCTCTCAGCGTCCGCTGCAGCCACCCCGGTTTCCGGAGGAGCTGCTCGTTCTCAGGGCCTCAGTGTGGCTCAACTCTGCTCCCTGACAACGGCAGTGGGCTTGGCGGACAGCTCTGGGCACCCTTCTCTGTGGGCCATCCAGCCTCCCGGTCCATTATTGGGTTGTTTACACTGCTGGGGCCTCTCTCCCTCCGACTTCTGTTGTGTTCTGGCCAGAGGTTTTGGTTCATCATATCTGACCAAAGGTCTACCAAGTGGCATGGGATTTGCCATGAGAAACGAAGAAAGAGCGTGGCGCTGGATGGATGAGAATGCATGCGCTCTGTGAGGCTCTGCAGGCACCTTCGAGGAAATAGGGTGAAGAGCAGCAGGCCACGCCCGGGACACTAGTGATGTAATGAAGGGCAGCGAAAACTTCCCTGCTGCTGGCAGGATCGACAGACTGGTTCCAATAAAAGGAACTGGCGGAAGG